GGACAGATAGAAATGTAGAGTTGTAAGGCCATGAAGGAGTTACATCACCAATAAGACATCAGGATTCTGAAGCTTGTAACCAGAAAAGTGCACAAAACATATCAGATGTGAGCAAGAGCGTCTGAGGATGACTTTGTGTAAGGGATAATGCATAACAAACTGAGTGTTGTTTGTAACGGTTACATGGTTGAATTTGTAAATTAACCAAATGTCTTATGGTTTATGATTAGATTTAATGCCGTGGAATGATCGAGAGACGTGTTAGGTCCTTTGCGTTGTTAGGACACTGACACTGGAGACTATTTCCATGAACGTTAAATAAACATCTTACAGAAAGCATCACTATATCAAGGATTATATGGTTTTCTTTGTTAAACAACATGATTTTTAAAAATGTGTCTATTAGTTTTTGTTAACATGGAGTTTTCACTGTACCAGTCCCTCTATGTGAGCTGTTACTATAGAAACAATATCGTATTCAAACAGACGCTTTAATATAAACGGCCGGAACTGCTGTCCTTGCCATAAACAAAATAACGCATGGATTCTGACCAATCAGATGCCAGAACTGTTGAAATGATGATCTCCGTCAGATTATAGTGTTTAATCTGCTGTTTTGATGCAGATCGACTTGGACACGATTGACGTGAGCAATCTGAACAGACAGTTCCTCTTCCAGAAGAAGCATGTCGGGAAGTCCAAAGCACAGGTATCTCTCTCTCTCTCTCTCTCTCTCTCTCTCTTTCTCTGTGTCTGTCTGTCTGTTTTTATCTCCACCTTTTGTTTTATGTGCGCTTATGCTTTTATTCATTTCTCTTCCAGGTTGCTAAAGAAAGTGTGCTGCGCTTCTGTCCTTCCGCTAACATCACGGCGTATCACGACAGCATTATGAAGTGAGTCGGTGAAGTGATTGCAGATTCTCGTTCAATCTCTCCTGCATCGTCTGTGTCGATCGTTAAGTTTAGCAGTTTACGTTATCAGTTCACGTTGTTGTTTTGTTTTGTTTTGTTTTTTTGCTCCATAAAAGGTCATGAGCACGAAACGTACGATCAAGGTGGATAACATAAGAGTGAATGTCATTTTGATTTACTTCTATGCCAGTAAAAATATTTAATACACATAATATTAATAAGGATTACAAGAGCTAAATCTTAAATGCTTGAAGTAAATGTAAACGCTCTTGCAAATGATTTACAAATAAACCAGCTTGATAAATGAGGCTGAATGTTTGTTCAAAACGCAAGCGCACAGCATTTCTGCAGCTCTACAAAGTTGATCAAAAAACAAAACCCGGCATGTTTGATTCACTTCTTACAGTCAAGTCTAAAACAAAACAAAAAACTTGGAAAAATACGGTTTAATCAAAACTTAGATTAAATGTGCATGCATCTGATTGAAGCATTGTTAACGAAATCTGCTGATGTCGTGTTTGGGACGCACAAAAATATCAAGAGTGAGCATTGTCAATAGCCGGTGCGAACGGATAAAGTTAAAGTGTTTTATAACGATTGTTTTGAGAGACCTGAGAGTCTTGTGTGTGACACGAGTTTCTCTGTTCATCCTAGTCCAGACTACAACGCCGAATTCTTCAGGAAGTTTCAGCTGGTCATGAACGCTCTGGATAACCGAGGTATGCAGATTTTCTCGTTTTCAACGCGGTGTGTTCGAATCCTTCTTGTTTTATCATTAGCCAAAACTCGATTTGTTTGTCTTCTCCAGCGGCCCGGAATCACGTGAACAGGATGTGTCTGGCAGCGGATATTCCCTTGATCGAAAGCGGGACGGCGGGATATCTCGGTCAGGTCACCGTCATCAAGAAGGTGAGATGATGGTTGGACAATGTTTTCACATCTGCATGAACAGTTGGGCATGGTATAACTTTTTTTTTGACACTGCTTTGTTTTTCTTGCCTGCAGGGGGTGACAGAGTGCTACGAGTGTCAGCCCAAACCCACGCAGAAGACTTTCCCCGGGTGCACCATCCGTAACACTCCCTCCGAACCCATCCACTGCATCGTTTGGGCCAAGTACCTCTTCAAGTATGCCTTCTGCTCACAACACTCCATATAGATTGTTTCAGCATTGCAGCATAGTATGTCTTCAGTTTAGAGAAATAATGCTCAAACTTGAATTCTTGAAACAGAATTGTAAACATCTTGGCACTCGCTTTTATAGACTGCTTTTTTTTTTTAATGCAACACTACAGTTTTGCTGGCAGTTTATTATCAAACCAAAAAAATCACGACGCACATCACAGAAACGCCATCAGATACTGTAATGTGATTATTTTAAATTTATATATATATATATATATATATATATATATATATATATATATATATATATATATATATATATATATATATATATATAAAATAAAAAAAAGTTGCGGTGTACCTTGCAGGTGTGTTGTTGTTTTTTTGGTTTGTTTTTTATAATTTTTGGTAAATGAGATCTTTTTAGCTGTACTCATGTACGCTTGTGAATTGAAGAGTGCTTTGGCTGAATGCACGTTGTGATGACATCACATGATTTGGCTCGGCCCAAATCGTGGAGGGACTGCATCTTGTGATGTTGTACAGCTCTAGTTTGATTGTAGTTATGGTAAGAGTGATGAGTTGCGCTGATGTTTTCAGTCAGCTGTTCGGGGAGGAGGACGCGGATCAGGAAGTGTCCCCCGACACAGCCGACCCCGAGGCTGCATGTAAGTGACTCCTCCATGTATTTCTCGATTACAAACCATCTGCTTATTTTTTTTATTTCTTTAACGTAATTAGACAGGCTCTGTTTTATTCGGTTTCATTGCTTATCGATATAGAAGATTTAGTAGCCCTACCAAAGTAATGTTTCATATTAAACAGAGGCCAGATTGACTTATTTTGTCTGGGGTGTGTGTGCGCTTTAGGGAATCCTGAAGAAACAGCAGCGCGAGCCCAAGCTTCGGATCAGGATGGAGATATCAAACGCGTTTCTACTAAAGACTGGGCTCGCTCTACAGGCTACGACCCTGTCAAGCTCTTCAACAAGGTCCGAAGAACTGTAGAAAATGCTGGAAAAGGGGTTGAATCGAAGTCATTTATTTTTAAAGGGAAGCTGTACAAATCCCGAGCGTTAACCAGCGTTTTCACCGGGACTAATTCTTTAAACGGGTGTGACTTTGAAATGCATGCTAGAAATGTTTCCCGTTTCATTACATTCACACACTTTGCCAACAAGTATTTATTGACATCGCCCAGGTTAAATGGTTTTGTTTATATGGGAATTGCATATCTCTGACGGCTGTTCGGAGAGTAGGATTTGATTCACCACAGGTCAGCTGACTCTTTTGGACTTTTCTTCAGCTCTTCAAAGATGACATCATGTACCTGTTGACCATGGATAAGCTGTGGAAGAAGAGGAAAGCGCCTGTGCCGCTGGACTGGTCCGAAGTGCAGCAGCTCGGTAAGGAATCTTGTATTAGACAGTGTCTGTATAATTACTGTACTTATTACACTATATATAAAAAAAGGCCTGTATGATTGACTTAATATTCCTTAGTCCACTAATCATAGTTTCAGTTAAAATTCACTTATGACTTTGTTTTTTGTTTTGTAAATGTAGTTAAATGCTGATGAACATAGGCCAAATGTTTGTGGACATCTGACCACCACACCCATATGTGCTTGTTTGGAACATCCTATTCCAGATTTATTCTCCCCTTTGCTGTTCTAATAAGCTCCACTCTTCTGGGTAGGCTTTCCAGTAGATTTTGGAGTGTGAGTGAGTGTTCATTCCCCAAGAGCGTTAGTGAGGTTGAGGTCAGGTGCTGGTGTTGTGTGAGGAGGCTCCTATTCATCCTGATGGTGAGGTCAGGGCTCTTTGCAGGACACTCGGGCGGCTGTGGCGCAGTTGGTAGAGTGGGTTGTCCACTAATCGTAGGGTTGGTGGGTCGATTCCCGGCCCGGGTGACTCCATATGCCGAAGTGTCCTTGGGCAAGACACTGAACCCCAAGTTGCTCCCTTATATAGCGCTTTGGATAAAAGCGCTATATAAGTGCACATTTACCACTCAAGTTCTTCCACCTTCTTCCAACCTTAACACACCATGTCTTCATGGAGCTTGCTTTGCTTTTGCGCAGGGGCGTTGTCATGCTGGAACAGGTTTGTTATCCCGTGAAGAGAAATTGTAATGCTACAGAAAATAAAGATATTCTGTACAATTGTGTGCTTCCAACTTTTGTGGAAGAGCCACCTATGGGTGTGATGTGCCGCTTTTCCACCACAGGAACTTTCCCCAGGAACTAGGGACATTTGACATTTGGATGTACTTGGTGTGTTTTCACCGCAGGAACCAGGGACTACATTAACTTTCATGTAAAATATTTAGTCCTCGCAAAGTCCCTTCTCGTGATGTGGTACTTTTTCCAAAAGACAGGAACCTTGGGGGTGGGACTTGGGCATTGAACATGCTGATTGGTTGAGTACACACCGCCTTTTATTTTCACCCATTTTTAAAAGTCTGTTGCGGTGCGTACAGTAACAGTGGTTTATTGCGATTCAAATCAACACAATGGAGTTTCTTAAAAAATATGACCGATGGACCGACAATGAGGTTCGGGCTTTATTCAGTATTTATGCCAAGGACGAAATATGAAAAAAGCGGCGACCCGCAATGAAAAAGTATACTTAAAAATATCAAGTGGGTTAAATGAGCTGGGCGTTGTTCACGCAGGAAAACAGTGTAGAGAGAAGCTCGTGCGTGCACGTTCGTCTCAGTCATCTCAGCAATAGCTGATGAAATCCGTTTGCTTACTTTAAGTCTAGCATGACGAGCATTCTGGATCCGCTTTACTACCACTGCTAGTGTCTTCTCTAGTACCTCTTTATCAAAGCAATACATCACAATCAACAGCACAGCTTGAATCTCCTCCATGCTTATTGTTGTTGCAGTGTCGTTATCAGATTTCAGAAAATAGACTCAGTGTCTTTTAAAACACGAACCTTTTATACAAAGATTTTTAGATTACTGACCAGTAATCGAACCTGGGCTGCAGCATTGAGAGCGCTGAATCCTAACCACTAGATTACCAGTTTGGTTGCAGCAAACTCTCCTGTTACTGTTTAAATGTTTGTGTTCCAATCAAAGCGTGCTACCTGTTTTTATGAGCCAAACAAACATTTTACATGTTGCATCAATAAAATCAGCTTGCTTTGTGTCAATAATTAGTTTGATTGTAGCATACTTTGAGGAGTCATATCCTCACCATGGGCTTCTTGTGCGCAGTCATGTGTCACTGGTCTAAATGCAGACAACAAAGGTCTGGAGGAAGCAGATGGTCCCATGAAAAAAGTTCCTGGGCTTAGTTGTTCTGGGTAAATTCGGTGGAAAAGTGGCTATGGTCAGGTGTCCACATACTTTTTGTCATATAGTATATTTTAGACTCGTAGACTTTGACTGCCTGTTTTGTGTGTGTGTGTGTGTGTGTGTGTGTGTGTGTGTGTGTGTGAGCAGTGAACAGTCAGGGCGAGGTGTGTGGCACTGGGCTGAAGGATCAGCAGGTGCTGAATGTGTCCGGTTACTCTCAGCTCTTCCAGCACAGCGTCGACACACTCCGGTCACAGCTGGCCGAGAAAGGGGATGGAGCCGAGCTGGTTTGGGACAAGGTCGGTGCACTGGTGGAACATTATGTTCACTCAGTCTCTTTTTCTCAACCATACACTAACTCTGACCGGACAAGCTGAGCAAACACACACACGCACTGTTATTTTGATTTGATACTGTTTCACATTGGCAACGCTGTTCACGTTCAAAACAACACTCTCGGTTGCCAGGACGATCCTCCAGCCATGGACTTTGTGACGGCGGCCGCTAACCTGCGCATGCACATCTTCAGCATGAACATGAAGAGTCGCTTTGACGTCAAATGTGAGTGTGTGCGTGCACGTGTGCCGGAGCGTGTGCTTTCTTTCCCTCTTATCATATTTGTTTACGGTGAATCAATATTTGCTTTTGATGGTTCAGATTTCACAATAGCAGCATTTTTCAGGTAGCTTCAGTGTTGTCCTACATGATGTAGCTGACCGTTATGTGTTTGTGTATTTGTGGGGGGTGTTGCTTCCTCCTCTAGCTATGGCCGGGAACATCATCCCAGCCATCGCCACCACTAATGCGGTCATCGCGGGCCTCATCGTCCTGGAGGCCCTCAAGATTCTTAATGCAGACTTCCAACAGTGTCGCACGGTGAGAAACGTGATTTCTTATTTGTTTGTTTGTTTTCAGGCCTTGGGTTTTTTTTTTTGTTTTTGTTCCCCCCACACTTAGGAGTGCCTTTAACACTTTCTTGCAGTACGTTGGCATTCCATTCAGATCAACTTATCAGACTTTTTCAATCAGTACAAACAAATGAATAATTATAAGATTAGTCAGGACACTGTTGGGGTTTCTGTGTGTGGAGTATCGTGCCTCTGTATTTAGCTGGTTTTTATGCAACTAAACAGGTGTGTTTTTTATTTATTTTTTTTCCTTTGTTTTTTGGGGGGTTTTTTCTGGTAGCTTATTAGTGATTCATATCATATAAATGTCTTCATGTATCATGATTAAAACTGAAAAATCCATCAGTTGCAGCAGTTCAGACCTAATCAATGAAGCAACCACAGCGCCGTTGTTCTTTAGATTGAACAATGAAAGAATTAATGATGCCCAGAAAGTAAAAATCTACTCCAGTCTGGGGTATGAAGTAGTGTTGGGCTGATAGACAATGATATCAGGGATTGGCAATAGTCAGAGATCTCACCAATAGCTGAAGCCTTTGATGATATGTCAACACGATACTTGGCTCATTTTCCCATTAATGTATTTGTGGCAGCGGGGGCGTGGTGAAGCGTCAGCTGGAACTGACTGGTAACACATGACTATTCTCACCTGTGTGGTACAATTGGGGGAAGTGATTTGTTTGTTTCTCGCTTTCAAGAGCGAGCCTGAAAAAATGTGAGAGGGAGAGACAGCTGACCAGCACTGAGCCGTGTATGTTCAGTCGAACCGCTGAAAAGTGATGGTAAAAGAATAAAGCTCCTTTTGAGTTTAAAACCTGCATCCATCTTCCTCGTCGTCGTCCCCAACACACAATATTACTTGGGAACTTATGACGCCTTTGGCTTCTGGAATAAAACCGAAATATTACCAAATAGGCGACGTGAAATTTTTCTTTACCGCAAACTCCACAAACTTTGCTTGCAAAATGACACGCGACATGTTATTTCCAGTGATGATATAAATAAGTAAATAATTATATTACTACTTTATTTAAATACAAGTCAATAAATGAGTAGATAATTCAGCAAATACATTTTCAATTAATATCTATCGCCATGCGCATGATATAATCGTGTATCAGCTCATGGTTGGACCATCTGACTACGGAGAAGATCGCCCAACACAACGGAATATTGCCGCTTGAGTACTAAGTACATAATTTTTTGGATTTTGTTTTTATTCCTGATAACATCACTGGGTACCTAATTGCTATCAATGTTTTCTCTCTCTCTCTCTCTCTCTCCCACTCTCTCTCTCTCAGATCTTCCTGAACAAGCAGCCGAACCCCAGGAAAAAGCTGCTGGTACCGTGTGCGCTGGATCGTCCCAATCCAAACTGTTACGTGTGCGCCAGCAAACCTGAAGCTACGGTTAAACTAAACGTGCACAAAGTCATTGTGCAGACTCTACAGGATAAGGTGAGGCATCAGGGGAAACCGCAGTCTGTTTGAAATCGATAAAGTATCAACGTTTTTAAAGGTGCAATAGCCGATTTTCTTGTACAAATAACATGCAAAATAGGCAAATATGGATTCACAAAATGGTTTAAGCCTTGACATCAGGACAAAAGTACTGCATGGCTGAGAAAACTCATGTGTTCCAGTCTTACCTAATGCCCCTTAAAAGAACTTTTTTTTTCCTCCTCACATTAGTAGCATTTTTTTTTTCACTGATATGCTTTACATTTTACACTCTGTTTTTGATGACCTTAAGAACAGTTATTATTTGCCCAGGAAACACATCAATTAAACTATTGTAACATGGCTAAACTTGGGGTTACAGGTCTTTCAAATAAAGCCATTATATTTCAATTAACGTCTCATTACCTTTAAGCTTCTGATAGATGAAAAACGTTTGTGTTTATTGGTCAGATCCTGAAGGAGAAGTTCGGCATGGTGGCGCCGGATGTGCAGATAGAGGACGGCAAGGGGACAATCCTCATTTCCTCAGAGGAAGGAGAGACTGAAGGTGAGCCTGCAGTTCATGAGCAAACTTGAATCTCTGATTCTAGCATTTTATTATTATTTTCTGTTCTAATGTTATCGTTTCTGTAGTAACCACTCATTCAGTGGGAATTGTATAACAAGCACTGGACAAATAACACTTTAAAAAGTGTGTAATCGTTGATATGGTGACGTTTTCTGTATAGAGACATTTAATTTTTAATATTTTGGAAGCAGTCTCCAGTGTCGGCACTTTGTAACAGTCAGCTGTAACTTTAAGTTTTCCGACATCTTCAGGACCGAGGAGTTTACACTTTGCTGTTTCTCAGTAACATGTGTGGTTTGTTTGTTTCTTTTTGCTTTATTTGAGAGAAAAAACAGAAGGGGGGAGAGAAGGCTGAGAAAAACAGCTGTTTATAGTTGCTTTAAAAAGTGATAACGGGAACTAAGTTCAACATATTACAACGTTATTCTTTAACGAAGAAAGCACCGTATTCAATGGGAAATCGCTGCGGTATAAAAGGAATAAAGTGGTTCAGGACGTGATGTTATCGAAACGTTGGGGTGGTAACAGTGACTGCAATTCATTACACCACCCTGTTATACTTATCAACTTTTTTTTTTCCTCCTCTGTTTGTAGCAAACAATGGCAAGCTTTTATCTGACTTCGGGATTCGGAACGGCAGCCGTCTTCAAGCTGACGATTTCCTCCAGGATTACACACTCCTGGTCAATGTTGTGCACTGGTAAGTGTGTGTGTGTGTGTGTGTGTGTGTGTGTGTGTGTGTAATTATGTCAAACCTGAGACATACTGTGCTAATTATCTTTGTGTGTGCGTGTTAGTGAGGAAATGCCGAAGGATGTTGAGTTTGAGGTTGTGGGTGATGCCCCTGAGAAAGCTCCAGCTACAAGTGCTCCAGAGCAAGAGAAGAGCATCACCAATGGCAACAAAGACTCTGCCCAGCCCTCTACCTCAACAAAAGGTAAAGTTAAAGCTAAATCCCACGTGGTAACATGGCAAAAGAAGTGACCATTTTAAAAATGCACAGAAGGGCTAATTCACATGAACCTGTTGTTTTCAATAACGCATTTCTATTTTCTCTTGTACTCAGCTGTGGCTGAAGAGGATGACGTTCTCATCGTAGACTCTGACGAAGAACCTTCCTCCAGCACCATGGACGTTTCCACGGAGACCGGCACCCTGAAGAGGAAGCTCCAGGATGCCGATACAAGTGAAGCGGCGCCCAAACGCAAACGCCTCGACCAGCAGCCGGCCGATGACGATGACCTCATCGCTCTAGACTAGTGTGTTCTCTCATCTTCCCTCCATACAGAGGGACTTCTTCTATTTGTATTTTTCATACTGTTAACCCATTAATGACCTTGTGTAAATATACGTGTACAAAAACCCGCTGAGCGCTTCATCGGTGTCTCTTTGTTCTATTTCTTTATATTTTTCCAAACAGAACAAACAGACTCTCTGTGTTTTGTTTAGTGAGGACTATTCTCAGATTGCTGAAATGCTTGCTGAAATTGTCTTTCAGAGTAAGCATTATGGATATTAATAGGGCTGTGTTTCCTGTTTGGAGGAGCAGAAGGCTGAAGGAAACGCGTAATGTATTTTGGTGTGTTTTATCATCAATGTTGAAGACGTTCCATATTTATTATTTTGTATGAACTTGCATAAACCAACAAAGGCAGGTGCTCATTTCACAGTATTTTCTTTGTTCAGTAAGCTTCTTTTTTCCGATATAAAATGTTGTATCCATGTTTTTTAATGAAATTTGATGGCAGTTATTTATTCTCCCTATGAGTTGTCTTGTGTTTTGTTCCACTCAA